GGCGTACACTTCCAGTCTACTCATCGGGACATTCTCACCGCCCACTATTTTGCAAAACGAACTTCAGCGGTCTCCGCCGCTCGAGGTATCACAGGTTGCGATCTTCTGGTTGGCCATCATCGCATGCCTCTGGATATTGCAAAAAATCTCTTCATGGCCTTGGTTGACCCTCATCTCATCTCAGCCTGTGAGATTGCCTTGGATGTCTGGGAAGACAACATTCTTCTTCTTGAGACTGTTCAGGTTCGTTTTTTGCGGCGCATGCTAGGCTTATCCCACTCCTCCATTGTCACGGTCTTATTCACTGAAACTGGTATCATGCCCATTCGCCCAGAACGTGCAATCTTGGCTCTGAAATATCTTATCTATCTCATCTCTCTCCCACCTTCCCATCTGGCCAATGTCGCTCTTCGCCAAAGTGACCATCTTCGCAGCTTGGGCCACCCATGCTGGCTCTCTGATCTTCATCTGGCACTTAGTAAACTCCCCGGCAGACCTTCTTTGCCTGAGCTATATGATCTATTGGATGATCCAATCTATCGGGTGACCGCTGTTGTCAACACCATTCGCCGTGAAGTTGATTCGGACCTGCAGTCAAAGATTGATGGTCCAAACTGTTGGTCTAGATTAGCATTTCTGCGAGACTGCTTGGAGCCACAGTCCACTGGGTCGGGTGACCGTCATGTTCGATGCCTTCGCCACTATCTCACTCGGGTGACTTCACCAAAACATCGACTGTCACTGACCAGGCTTCTCTGTGGGGACACCACACCATTGACCTTTCGTGCCTCCCCTGCAAAACGTGGACTCCTTTCTGATGCCGAGTGGACTTCAAAGAGGTGTCGTGCATGTAACGCTCACATCGAAACGCCGCAGCACATTTTCCTCCAATGTAATTCTTTACATCTTCCCGGGATCACCTCTGCGCGTAACAGCTTTCTTGGTCTTATCAGTGGCCACATCCCCTTACCTGTCAACAATGCTTTTTCCGACTCGGCAGCATTGTATTATCTTCAAAAGTTTATTTTCCACTGGGATCATGTTATTCCCACAGCTAAGTTTATTCATGAGGTTATGTGTCATTGGAAAGGTTTTATTTCGGAGGGACAACAGGTCTTACACTCGGATTTGTCAGAGGAGGAAGACGGTCCTTAATCATTTATTCCGTAGCTACTATGTTAGTTACAAACTACCCTTCGGGAGCGTTTGCAGTCTACCTTCCCTATGTGGGTCGAGATCGCTGCTTGGCTCCCGTTTGGGACCGGCTGTTCCCTCGTGGGACCCCGCTGGATGGCGGAGCCGCGTATTATACTACTACTACTACTTAGACTTGGGATCGGATTCCCAGCTGTACGCGGAATTTAGTAAAGAATCGTATGTATATTTGTATCCAATTTACATATTTACTTTTTTCTTTACTTTGTATTTACATAAATAAATAAATATGTATCCACAACTGCAAGTACTAGAAACATTATGCGCACTAAGAAGTAAAGAACGTAACAAAAGTCCTGTTGAAGCATAAAGGTTCATTTGTATCTATCTCACATGATAACACATTTGTCTTCCTCCACCTTTGCCCCTGTGAATCCCATCTCGGCAAATGTCTGTGGACCAGCCGCCTTTGGTGGAGTACTGATCCCGTCCGAGCTAGGTGCACCCACGGGACCTCCAGGTCCAGGATCTGCACCAGGAGCACCCGTACCGCCACCAATACTAACGCCTCCACTCGGTCCTCTCCTCGGCGCTGGCCGTCGGCCACTGGGTCCACCCGAAGGACTCCTTGAATCACTCCTTGACTCGCCATTTGGTGCAGGCCTGGCCCCAGGATCAACAAGCGTGTATCTATTTGCGCCAGCGAACGCCTGTGCTGGTTGTCCAGGCTGCCCTGGCATGCTTGTTTGACGTGGAGGACGAAGTCCTACACCAGGCCCCATACCCTGTGGTACATTAGGTCCTCCAGGCCCACCCTGCGCGGACATTGGTCGATGACCTCCAGGAGGAAGCGTATTCGCATGTTCGGTCGGGTACCTTCCATGTACCGGACCAGGACCAGGACCCTGATTCGCATATGTGAGGGTATTTTTCCGAATCAGCTCGACCACAGGTCTCGAATCTTGTCTCCTTGCTGCACCCCCTGGTCCTCCCGGATATCCATATCCTGGTCCTGCAGCATTGTATCCCGGAGGACCTCCCATCGCCGGTACTGGTCCACCCGGAGGACCACCCTGTGGACCTTGAGGCGGCCCCTGACCCTGATTCTGGGTTGCCAAATAGCCATCTCTAACCTTCTGAGCTTCACTTCTCTGCTTCGCCTGCGTTCTAGTCCTGACCAGTTTACTCTCTGTGATGGAATCGTGTTCTTGGCGGGAGAGCATCTGAGGTACACTTTGTGTGAGAGCTGCGAGTCGCTCGATGGCGTCGGTGTTGCCATGTGCTTCGGCCTACGGGGAGCAAAAAGGGTGAGCTCGGGTTGGCGAGAAAGGAATGTACCCACCTTTCGATACCACGCCACGGCCTCATCCAAAGTCCTCACACCCCCATTCCCGATGCCCACTTCACAATAATACCCCATGGCAAACTCTGCACTAGGCAAACCCTTTCTCGCAGCCTTTTCCGCAAAGACCCTAGCCAGTTGTTCGTCTTTATCGAAGCCTCCAAGGGATGGGTCTGGTGGTTCACCGTTGGGACCACCGACACGACTGCCACACAGGAACCATTTACTGAGTGCCATATCTGCCTCGATCTCTCCTTGTTGACTCGCTCGGGAATACCTATTGAGTAGTGTAAGCAACCAAACATCGATGGAAGCTGAGGTACGTACCACTCGACACTCAGCAACGCGTCGAACTCGAATGGCGGACTGGCAAACTCGTACGCGTGACCTAGTTTGTATTGGGCGGGCGAGAAGTGTAGGTAGGCGGAGAGGAGGAGGTGCGGACGTGCGGTTAGTAGAACACTGTGGAACAATGAGCATACTTCTTATCAAGCAACGTCTGTACTGACCCAGAACTGCCCTGCATATGCGCATACTCTTGAGGTATCAGACCTAATTTCAAAAACATATCGTCTCCGAACTTTGGCGCTTGTCCGTCTGCTCCAGGATTAAACTCTCCCATCAACAATAATGCATATACATATGCAGGCTGAGGGGTATCAACTGTACTCAGTAATGCTGCCCTCTGCAATAGCGGCAGTGCAGTCTCGGGTGAAGCGGGGAGCGTTAGTTGGCCAAGGAGATGAGCCATACCCAGCCGATACAGGCACCCCGCCTCGCCTCCTGCACTCCCTTTGCCCCTTGCGCCTCTCTCAAAACACTCTCTTGCTCTCGTAAAATCGCCGAAACCCTCATAGTCTCTCCCCAGTCTAAACCATGCCCTAGCATACCCTGCTCTGGCGGCAATCTCAAAATCGCGGAAAGCCTGGCGGGGATTGCGGGCGATGGAATTAGAAGGTGTAGCATTGATTTGATTTGTATTTGGCGATGAATTTGGGGATGAAGGGGGAAACAAGCCGGAGGATAAGAGTGATGCGCGATGGAAGATCATCTCTGGGATGTATGGAGGTGTGCTCGGAGGGACATTACCCGGCTGACCCACCATCTCGAGTATGATGGCTACTGCAATTCTGCCTAGTTCGGCTAATTTTGATGTATTGTCTGTAAACGGACCGTTCGCAGGTTCACCTACTGGACTTCCTGTAGCCTGAGCATGTGCTCGTTCGACGAGAAACAAGACATCTCTGACCCAAGCTACGCGTAAAGCGGGGTCGTGATTTGGATTCTGAGTAGTAGGCATTGCAGTGAGGAGAGCGGGGATAGTGGGAAGTGGCGCAGTGAGTGATGGAGGATCTGAGGCAGTTTGTGGTTGCTGAACATGAGCGGAGATAGTCGGAGCAGGAGAAACAGCTCTTCTTGTTGGGCCTACCTGTGGCGGCTGTAAACCATCGAATCCACCTGGTCTATTGTCGTATTGTGGGTATTGTGAGCCTGGTCTAGGATATGGTAATAACGGAGCCGGCGACATTGCTGGCTGATGTGGCGGAGTTGGAAGAGCGGGTGACCAAGGAGCCCAAGGTTGTTGAATCGGTGGAGGTAATGGACTGAATCCACCTGGGTGGTATCCGCTATTGTAATTTGCGGGGGGAGCATGAAAACTATGTTGTGGCTGCATTCGTGGTTGTCCGTATCCTTGTTCGTCTAGGTTACGAGCCATCTAAATATGAACAAAAGTTAAAACGTGTTCTGCCTTTCAACCCGCTTGACGACGCTCGCGCGATCCATCCAATCCAAAAACTAGAGCTCAGACTAAACGAACTCACATCGCTCATTAAATTCTTTTGTACCTCTAAATCCACCTTGTAGGGTCTTGGGGCTGTTAAAGGGTCTTCGAGATGTGGTAGGGTACCTCCGTCAGAAGCTGTACCAGGCGAAGATTTTGGTGAACCTAGTCCTAATCCTTCAGATTCAAGTAGAATATTAGGTGCGCCCGGGTTAATCGGTGGTCTAGGTGGTGGTGGTACGTTCCAAGAAGTGTTCATACAAGAAATGGCTGATCGATGTCAAATCATCCCTTTTTCAATTTAAGCGCTCCTGGGCGCTACATAGGCATGTGTCCAACCTTCAAACGTTTCAACTATCTATATCATGTCCAATAGCAACGAAATACTTGGAAACACCTGAAAATTTATTGCTGCGGTGCTATACATAGTGGTTTAGGGCTATGTTGCATCGTTAACAGTGCCTTACAGCTGCCGGGTCTGCCTCAACAATCTCGTCGGCGTGCAGGCGTGACGCGTCGCTCGCTTAATCACTTGGCAAAATGATTCTGAATATACTCTGAGACGTCAGGCGTTCAGGCTCATAAAGTCCTATCCCTCGGGAATCAAACCCAATTGCAACAACGAGTTTAGCACTGTTTAGCAAGTAAATTTCACGCTAACCCTAAAAGCGTTACCACCTTTAAGTATGCGTTTCATATAAAAAACTCAGCCTACGAACTTACACCGTTCGGGAATCGAACCCGAGCCGCTTGCTCACGATGGGAACATGTAGTAGTACATATAGTCGTGGAAGGCAAGCATGATAACCACTTCACCAACGGTGTATTATTAATGGTGTAGTAATAAGTAGTTGATAAATGACACGCTCATCTCTTTTGGCTTCTGTTATCTCCTGGTGCGCCTGTACTTGGTAAAGAAAAACCAGAAAGTAACAAGTCCCATCCATGTACTTAGCAACGTGCACAAGAACGTGCATAATAAGAACTTCCTGCCAGGCCCATGTGACAGATATTGAATGCACCGGCACTGATTTCTTCCTCCCTCGCCGTCTTTTCTATGTATGGCAACACTCTCGTGTGCATCATGATCCTGATTCATTGCGAATCACAATCTCTCAGCGCTGTTTTCATCGGTCTTGATACTTGACTCGAGCTTGAGGTTTTCCTTCATCAAGACCCTTCTTTCGATTCCCTACCGGCTTCCTTTCTAGCTGCGCTAAAATCATTCCTCATGAAACCGCCCAATTCACGCGCATTCTCTGTCTTATTCGCCATTATCCCGGTCTGGGCGATCTCTCTTGACGTCGCTGGACGATTTCATAGTTCAAGCGTTACTCCCCTCCTTCACAGACGTGACACAACCTCCGATTCATTGGGAAACGGAAGTGCTTCACTAGTAGACAGTCATGATATCTCATACATGTGCAATATCACCCTCGGAGGGCAGCAGTTTGAAGTGATTATTGATACTGGCAGGTGAGATTCGTCGCATATACTCACATCCTACATGCAGATATTAAAAGTCTTTTCTGATTTCAGTGAGGACTTGTGGGTTATTGGCGATGTTCCAGGTTCACAGAATACTTCAAAACCGGCGAATATCACGTACGCCATAGGCTCAATCGCAGGTATGTGGTTACGCGGCCGATCATTCTATCCAGCTTAGAATACCGAAACCCAGGTTTTATTAATACTGCAACACTGGTACTGGATGACTACCAGGTCGATGATCAGGCATACAGTAAGCTTAGACCTGGTCATTATCTAAACTGAAGAGCATTTATAACATGCTGGCTCCCAAAGTTAGTGTCAATAAAGTTGAACAGCAAGCAGACACACCGGGAACTGGTCTCATAGGTTTCGGTCCATCGCGGGGGTCTATGATTTTGCACACCATGGGATCTTCAAGTGGCGATCCCCCATTAGACAGGATATTCAAGCAAAATACAACAACCCCCAACATCCTCACCATCTTGCTTTCACGTAGTGACAATTTTACAACACCGACCAAAAATAATAGCCTGGTACCCCTCCTTGATGATCAACCTGGTCAGATTACCATCGGTGAACTTATTCCCGGGTATAGCAATGTGACGAGCCAAGCAAAGCTTCCCGCATTGGTGGACGCTGCTCAACAGCATTGGATGACTCTACTGGACGCAGCAGGCGTGATTGCCCCGAATGGGCAAAAGCTTAACCTCACCTCGTTGAACACAAACTTGACTGAGGGAAATAGCGATCGGCTTAGAGTCATGTTCGACAGTGGGTTTACTCGCCCTCAGGTACATACTCTGCCCATCCTTTCTCAGTTTCCCGTTCATCATCCCCATGTACTAGGTACCCATTGCCATCACCAACGCCTTCTATGGCCAAATACCAGGTGCTTCATTTATTGAAGAATCCAATCTATGGGAGGTACCTTGTAATTATGAGATCAACGTTTCATTTGTTTTTTCGGGCGTGGATTATCCCATTCATCCTCTCGACCTCACTCAATTTGCTAGTGTTGTTGATGGAAAAGATGTTTGCTATGGATGGGTGAGCTGTAGCTCTTTCTTAATACCTCTTCTACTTTCCTGAGCAAGCCCTGCAATATTTGGTCAGTATCAACCAATTGCTAGCGACTTGTCGCGCTTTGGGATTGACGTTATACTTGGAATGGCCTTTTGTGAGTTTTTTCATGCAATGTACGAATTTAATCTCCAATGCCCACAAACAAAATATCAGTAAGGAACGTTTACTTGCTTATCAATTTCGGGGATTTTGTCGATGGGTCAAACACCTCAGTTGCAGACCCTTATATCCAGCTGCTTTCAACAACAAACCGTACGGCAGCTCATCTCGATTTTGTCAACGCTCGACTTGGCGGTACCGACACAACAGGCACGCAAGGACCCGACACACCCATCAATCATAGGGCGTGGTTCATCGGTATTATCAGTGTCGCTGGAGTTCTTGTCGCTGGGTTGGTTGGATACTTGATTTACAGAATGCGAACACGGCGGAGTAATGTTCGATTTGAGGGTGGGTTCGTTCCCACATTTGGCTCATATCAACCAGTCGGTACAAGGGATGTAGGCGCAGAGCCACCCTATCGTCCAACGGGTGCAGCATATAGTGATCCTTTTCCACACCAGGGACGATACTAACGAGTAAACGTATTGAGTGCTGAATGCAACAAGCACTACCATATAGTATTTATGTAAGGATAATCTATGCGGCATTTGTATTAACTATTTGTAAATCAAGTGGTAGCAGGACCTAGAGCCATAGTCCATGATAAAATAAAAGCTGTAGAAAAATACATTTTTGAGGGTGAAGTGTTTACACATGACTGATTTACGGTTTAGAATGTTCTGAGGGAACGAACCTGAAAATAGCAGCGATATCAGAATAAGCCAGCCGTCGCTCTTGAATGAAGTTGAACCATTATTTTTGTTTTTGTCTTTATATTTTTATAGCAGAGTGAAATCTCCATTTGCATCATACGGTGCTGACATCCCCCTTGCGAAAAACTCTGTCGAAATCCTTTAGATAGATGTATACTGCCGACGCAACTAAGAAGTCCTTCTCCCAACCTCCACTTAGAAACTCTTTGATGTTAAATTTACGTTGAGATTACCCAGCCGTAGCCTACTCGTAGGTTAGCAGTTTAAGTTAGAAAATTACAAAGTTAGGGGGCTTTAATGCTAGTTTTCATAAGCCAAAATCTCATTCACTGCACGTCTGACGATGTCGGCGGTAAATTTGGGAATGATATGTCCCACACTATGTTCATCAGGAATCGCCTCCGTGCATCTGACACCGAGAGATGCGATTTTCTCCACGTCGACAGATACTGCTCCGCCTCTGAGATAGACTAAATCTGTTATGAACGCAGAGACAGGATACATGGTTCCCGCGTTCCCCAAGCCAAACGGTTGAGGCTGGTACAAGGTATTGAGTGTGCGGACTATAGCTCTGTATGGATGTCAAGTAAGATATATAGAGTTGGGGAACAGGAAAGAAACGTACTGTATGTAATCAACAGCTGTGTATCCGGCAGTCTCTCGGTCATTTTCGCCATTTACTGATGCAAGTTCTGAGTGTACTGAGAGTATTCAGTGTTTCGGAGATGACTTACGAAGAAGAATCTTTGCTCGAAGCGATGCAGAACTAGCAATCTCGCGAGCAACTCCTTGCAAGGCTAAGCACGGAATGATACTACAGAGCCCAAATCTGAAAGACGCTTCGAGAGTTGATCGGGAAACTGACCTTGTCCAGAGGGAGCCACAAGAATAGACAAGGACATCGTTGGCTCTGAGGCTGGAGAGGTACTCCGGATTTGGAGAGGGGTAAATTTCATTTCCGTACCCGTTGAGATATAACAGCCCTACACCAAGTTCAGTGAATAAAGAAAGCTTTGGAAACCAAATCGTAGGCTGACTAGATATTCGAGAGCTTAGTGGCTCATATTGTGCTTTTCCCTCTGCTTGAAAGAGTACATTCTGTTGTCGGTTTTGTAGCCCATCGAGAGGAGACCACTCCTCATTGGAATCAATGACATTTATCATAGGAGCCCGAGCTACTGGATGGGAAATGTTGCACTGCCCAACAATTCTCTCTCCATCTTCCTGTAAATAAAGCAACTTCCAGTCTATAGAATAACATTGTCGCCGTAGACACGTACCAGTTCTGCAGCGATGGTAACTGTGTGATTCGTAACAATCACAGGCAGAATATTGGCCTGGCTGTTGGTAATGGAAGAAAATAGAAATATCGCGGATGGAAGAGAACGAAAAAACCCTTGAGCGGCTGCGATAAAATAGTTACCAATGCTAGCGAGGAAGTTAGTATCGGAGACAGTCAACCATGTTGGTAAAGATCACCTTCCATTGACGAACGTGAAATTCTTCTGTGCGCGCTTCAATACCTCGCTTTCAAAGTACACAAGAAAGCCTAACCCAAAAATTTCAGTGATATAGTACCAGAAATGTAGACCTGTGTACCTCGAATAGTTTCCTTTCGATCTGTTGGTATCCCTAACCAGATCTTCGCTCGTCCTTCAACTATCTCTCTCCACTCCTCTCGGGCTTGACGTTCCGAATAATGAGGGGGAAGACGATATCCAAAAAGATTCCTGATAGCACTTAACGGTGATGATGCTGGAGCCGATGGTATGAGCCTCACTAATCTCGACCGAATATCACCTTGATATGAGTGAGTAGCTGTCTTGAGAAGACTTGAGTGGAGTAACACAATACCAATAGACGGGCCACCCAAAACACGAATTATTTCACTTGAAGAGCCGCCATCATCCGATACAGGAAGCACATAACATGCTTTAGGGAATGCTGTACATATCGCGTTTCCACCTGTTCCTCCAGAGATGAGAACGAACGAAGTGATATCCAAACAGCCGTCCTGCGTATCCTTGGTATCAGTTCCCAATGCCGGGGATCGGATCTCCAGATGAGGCGTAGAGTTGGAGTTTGCAGCAGTGTTTTGTATTGGAAGGTCGAAAACAGAAGAGCCAGGACTGTCTACACGGATACCTAAGGACGAGTTAAGACTAGGTTCAGGGAGAGACATTATTTATTTCGCATAAAATGAAGATTAGAAGGACGAAATTTATTTAGTTTATTACACAACGAACGCGTTTTGTAGAAGGGGCGGGCGCTTAAAACTACGTTGCGCTGAGTTGTTGACACGTTCTTGTCCTTCGTCTTCATGTCTACCTTTCCGGCTCTTCCTGGATTCTATCAATTCCTCTTTCTATATTTCGAACCTGGTATTTGAGCTTAAAAGTAAACAAATCCATGAAGAGTGTCTGAGCTACGCTTTAT